ATGAGCACTGGGTGTTGTATGGAAACCAATTTGGCAATAAATTGCATATTTAAAAAAAATCAAGAAGTTTGATGACTCAGTAATATAGGTTTTTAGAAAAAAAATACCTCCATGTAATTTTTATGATGTTTTATAAACCTTAAGGTAGTAAACAATACACAGTATTATTTTTATTGTAATGTCCTATTGGCTTCTAAAACAATTGGAGATCAAAATCACTCAACATATTAAACTCCAAATTTTTATTCACCAAAATTAATGTGAAATTTAAGTGTAAAGTAAGGAAAGTAGGCTCTCTAGGAAGTTATAACAACATATATAATAGACATAAAGTCAACAAAGATAACAAATAAAAATTTTAGGAGTCTTCCAACAATTTCATCCTCCAGATTGTGGGAGGAGTAGTAGACATTAATATCCAGTTTTTACACGTCATATCCAGGCTGCTCTTGCTCCCTAGGGGAAAGAAAGAGAAAAATATCCTCCAATAAATATATTTATAATCTTGATCCTTTAAAGTCAATTGAATATTTGCACTGTAAAAAAATAGTAATGAGGAAACATCCATACACATCTGTAACCCACTAATAAATTAAAATACTTTGCTCCCTAATGAATTAAAATATTTTCCATCCACTCATTTTGGCCATTTTATATCATAATCATACATTTTTCTACATGGAAAGCATGCCTTTCTTTCTAAAAAGAAACAGCTCAAGGAGCTATCAGAATGACCACTCTCTTGTCATGTTATCAGTAGTCTAGTCATGAAATCTTCTCTGCAAAGTTATTTACAATCATTTATATTGGCATTGGTGAAATTGCCATTCTTCCAACTTGTATGGACTGTATTAAAGGGAAATGAGAATTTGGACACATGCAAAAAGGTAGATGATAAATTTTTTTTTTAATTAAACAGCAAAAGGTCTTTTTAATTTTCTTGATCTTTCCTCAAGATCCTCTCTCTCATTATTTTGGTCACTTAATAAAACACCAAACATTTAATTTCCTCTACATTTCTGTGTTATCCAAATAATTTTTAAAAATAAAGTATTTTACTTTAAAATGCTTTCCAAAAAGTATTATGGAATTTTAAAAGGCATTAACATGCTCTCTGTTTAGCACACTGTTGGAACATCTTACCAAATGCCTGTCAGGTAGGGAGTTTAGAACCATTCTGAACTCCTTTTTCAGGAATGCAAGGTCAAATAAATGAAGTAATTTTCAAAGCCTTGCATCAAAGTTCCTTTTATATACTCAACTTAAAAGTTTTTGAAAGTTGCAATATTGGGGAGGCACCTGGGTGGTTCAGTTGGTTAAGCATCCCACTCTTGGTATCTGCTCAGGTCATGTTCTCACTGTTCGTGAGTTCAAGCCCTGCATCCGGCTCTATGCTGACAGCATGGAGCCTGCTTGGGACTTCTCTCTCCCTCTCTCTTCTCTCCTCCCTAATTCATGCTGTCTCTGTCTCTCTCAAAATAAATAAATAAACTTAAAAAAAATTTTTTAAAGTGGCAATATTGGAGTAGGAAAATATTTTTTACTATTTTTACTAAAAAAACAAAAGACAGGTTGAGTTGCAAGAGAGAATGAGGGGGGGCGGTGGATAAATGAGGTTTGTGCAGTGTTACCTTCTTCCATCGTAGCAGCCTTGGTTAATTTCTGTAGTAACCAGCCCCATTCCTGGAGGAGGGAATGGCATGCTCCAAATTACACAGCAGTCACTAGCAAAGTAAACACCTAGAATTTCCCCGACATTCAACAATTCCTTTTGCCTATGTTTCAGAAACAAAGGGTGAGAGTAATATATGGATTTACAAAATGCCTTTCCTTCCCTCCTATAGCCATAGCCCCAAGCTTGTATTTCTTTAATCTGTGTTCTTAGGGGCACCTTGAATTTCCTTCAACAACAGCAAGAGACCAAAATAGGAAGTGAGAGAAAGACCAGACAGCTGGTGGGGACTGAAGAGTGAGTAGAAACCCTTTCTCACCTGACTTAATCCCAGGTAGTGGTAGATAACACAGCTCCTTGGTTTTCTCTCCATAAGCTTTTGCTAGAACAAAGTGCATTCAGCACAGGTGGTCTCTTAGCAACCTTGGTTCCTGTGTCAAAGCACATTAAAAGGTTTTATTGGATAGTGAGGTTGTGTATGAAGTGGAGGACCAGGGAGCCTACTTGGAGAAACTCTAAAATTACTCTCAAAGAAGTCAGGAAGGAGAGCTCAAAGAGTGGACTTTGGAAAATATGACAGTTGAAGTCTAATTTATCACAGAATTGTACAGCTAAAAACTGAACCTTTAACAGAAAGGTTAAGCGAATTCTAGGATTTTCCTGGAAGGGCAAACATTCACCATACTTTTTAAACAACAATTCTCAGGGGGTGGCAGAATGGGAGAGATGTTTAAAGATATATACTTGGAACTACTAAGTAAGTTCGGAAACCTAAAACACAGTACGGTGATTATGGACAATAAAACTATAGTATAAACATTAAACTTGCTAGGAGACCAGGTTTTAATTGTTTTCAATACTAGAAGAAATGATAATTATGTGATGTGATAAAGGTGTTAGCTATTACTACTACGGCAATCATACTGCAATTTAAATGTATCAAATCAATATGTGGTACACCTCAAACTTATGCAGTGTTATACGTCAAACACCACTCAATTAAAAACTTCCCTAAAAATTATTTTAAATATATTTGTTTCAGTATCTTCTATGACAACTGTTTATGTAAGACCATAACCCATGCACTTGTGTGTCTGCTATAAATTCTATAAGTTTTCAGACTTTGTATTACTTTTATGAGCAAGTTAGAAAGTGGAGGAGTACATTTATTACAAAAGACCAGGCTGTAAAATTTAGGCACAAATGAAAGATTATGTATCCAATGAAATGATGGTTATTGCAACTATGAGATAATAAAAATGCTACTTAGAAAATTATGTTTAAATATTTAAATAACATTAAAAGCCATACCTTATGACCACCCATTACACTCCTAGAAATATACCCTAGGCATGGTTATCCTGCACCGGGACACAGATCCAAATATTGTTCATAATATTCTCCACTTAGAAATAACCCAAACGCCCATTAGTACATAAATAGATAAATTCATATAATGGAATATTATTCAATTATGAAAATTAAGCTACAACTAATACAACAGCAGGGGTAATTTTACAATCACAATATTGAAGTTTTAAAAAGCAAGGCACCAAAGAAATACACAGTGTACAGATACTTACATAAAGCAAAGAAACAGCTAAAAGTGCACAGTTTAGGGGTGCATATGCAGATGGCAACAGTGTTGGAGGTAAATTTATCAAGAAAAGCAAGGGATTGGCTAGCATAAATCAGGATAGTGGTCAGTGACGGGGGGTGGGGAGTTGTGGCCGGATGAGACACATCCAGCACCATTTCATTTCTTGCCCTGTGTGGCGGTTACACTGGCAATCACTTTTTAACCACTTGACAAACAGTACATGTAAGTTTTATGTGCTTTTCTATATGTATGTTAGACTTCACAAGTGAAATATTTAAAAAGAAAAGAAAAGAAAACCGAGAAAGATCTATAAATGATCACAGAGTCTGAGTTTGGAAGGAAGGACTCTATGTGATTTTTTATCCGTGCTTTTTCCATTTCTCACATTTTCCTTTAAAAGGATGTTGCTTCCCTTAGAAAATAAGGAAAGTAGTTTCAAAACTGCCAGTCTTCTTCCTTGTCCATATAATGAAAAGTAATGTATACTGATTTTTTGTCAAAACAATCACTTAATACTTTCCCAAGTATGAACTTGGGAAAATTAGATCAGTGAAACATTTTAATGACAATATGCAACTTACGTGAAAAAGTACAAATAACATATTTTTAATTAAAATGCTTCACTGACAAACTTAATTTTCCTTGAGTTCATTCTAAGTCTGTGGCTAAAGAACATGTTCTTGTCTCAAAGTGCTCATGATAAACAGGAATATGGGCATTTCCTGTTTGGTTCTTCTGCTTGATGATAGATCTGTTTCAAGATCTAAATCAGTGGAAGGATGCAGATTTGTAACATCGCAAGTTTACTGATGCACTCAGATTTTACTGTGGATTAAAACTATGAGTGTAACTACTCTTTGATTTACATTTTGCCTAATTGGTTCTTACTTACCTAGAAGCTTCATAATCAGATGTTTTTTTTCTCCAGGATTGGAGGGACATTCCTTTTGGGGGAAAAACTATTTAACAGCAGCAACTTTCAGGAGGAAAAAAGTGATTGCTAGTGTTTTTTATTGGCTATAACATGCACCCAAAATACAAATTTCAAACAAATTAGGACACTTCTAGAAGTATGCTATAACATATTGAATGTGACTATCTCAAGACCATGGTCTTATCTTGAACGTGATATTTAAAAATCATAATTAAAATAATATCACCTCCAATTTCTGATGTAAGACATCCAAGATTATTCTGGGCCAAATATATTTCATGTTGAAATTTCAGATGACTCCAAATTATTTATCGTCTCATTTGAATGCCTCTACCTACCTTTCTTTTCCCTATTTCCAGAAGGAAGTGGGAATCAATTTATTATTTTATAGAATGTTGTACTGAAAATACTCTGTTATCTAGTTTTTTAAACTTGTATTTATTTTATCTTCTGACCCCACTAATAGTTCAAATAATCTAATTCAAATTGACCTGTTCATTGTTTACTGAATGGTTGAAAAGTGGTATCCCACAAAGTAAGTTAGACAAATGAAGAGTAACAACAAACTTTGGTCTCTGGAAGTTGAATTTCACTGTATTCCTTGTTCTTCACCCTGCCATCAGCTTGTACGCTCTTGCCTTTAAAACCTTTATAGTCTTGTTTTTAAATAAAATGGGGCTTCTCAAATCAACTCTGACTTCTATGACCACAAGAAGAATGCATTTGCTAAATGGCTTGGCCCTCCAGTAAGGCTCACCATTTTTTCAACTTCTTTCAACCTCTACTATTTCCCCTTATTAGGCATGGATTCTTAATCAAGACAAAGAACAGAACATACTTTGGAAAGTCTCATTTTCAATCAAAAGAAAAACACTTTTCATTGGATTAAAGTTTATAGTCTTAAACTCTTCAGTCATGTTTCAAAAATATTTCCTTTTTTGACAAGAATTTGCTAATCCTACTCATGTTTCCATCAGTATCTAATGGTCAGTATTGACCAAAGTTCCCTGGAGATACATGTTGAAAAATGACAAATAATGGAAATCTGTCCATTTTTATTTAATAGGTCACTTAAGTAAAATACAATAATTACTATTTATTGAGGGTCTAGCATGTGCCATGCTGTGATTATGTGCTATTAGGAGATGTAGCAACTATCCAAGGCCACGCAGTATTCTGTGCTGGATCCTAGATTCTACTAAGCCAGGACTCTAGTCCCCAGATGGCACC